CCTTTAGGGTTGGTTTCCAATAGCCGGTTCCATTTTGGAACTAGTCCTCTGCCCAGATTTGCTAAGCTTAGATGCTAACAAATCTCTTATTGAACCTTTTACATCTCTTTCCTCTGTTTCATTAGACAAATGCAATGTAGAAATCATAGCTTCTCTTTTTTAGCATGCACTGACTGTCACTTTAGCTGATAAAAAATAATATCAGCTGCATCTAATGAACTTTTATTCCACAACGGCTAAAATTATGTTGTTGTCTGGTCAATGCTGCAATAATCCATGCTGATGTCAGTACTGGTCCTCGTTCAGGACTGTCTCGTCCACTGCCTGGGATGGTTCCCATAGAGAAGCTCAGGGAAGCAGCTGTGCGCTCCTCTTTAACAGAGGTGGGGAGGCTAACCAGACATATGTTTACCACTTAATCTTCATTTTTAAAGTCCTTTATCTTGTAAAAGTAAAAACAGTGTTTGAAAACATTTCCAATAAAGCATAAATCTCACCATTTGTGAGCTTTTCTATAGGAACCATCCGGGTTATGACTGAAAAGAAACATCATTCTATAATACTGTACCGCTGACCGTGAGTGAACCGTGTGCTTTTGTAGTTCAATGGGTGGTGCCTCTTCCCTACAGAAAGTATCTAGCTGACTATGTGTCATGTCAGTGTCAGGAGAATCACATCACACATGGCTTATCAACAGTGTTTGGAGCAATTAACTTGTGAAAAATAAGGTGTAAAGTCAAAAGGCTACAGCTGTTATTTCAATGTGTCCCAATACATTTAATCAGTATTTCATATTTTGTGCTACTCATCTTATTTTGTAGATCTCTAAAAATCTATATAACTGGTAGTGTTTATGGCTTCTCACCCAACAAAAGGCGATACAGATCAACACTGAAAACCCTTCAGATTAGAGGAGGGATTCAGATTTGATCAAATGCTGTCAAGCTCCAACTCTGTCAAGCTTTACACAACAAAGCAAGGACAGCCTGTTATCTCTCATTCCCTTTTTATACACCTCAAACACACAATAAAGGGATGCATGCTAGATTCTCTCTGCTCTTCAATGCAGCCCTGTGATAGATGGGCCTTTATTCACATTGAGTCAGATCTGTAATCTGGGTTTCAATTTATCGGCAGCCTTTGCCTCAATTACCCACAGATTTTCCAGCTTGTGAGGATGTGGCAAACCATCCAAACTTTAAAATTGTCCTCAGGAGCCAAAATTGTGATGGTGGTGAGGATGTTGCAGCCAAATTGAACTGCCAGGCTGTTGCTCTAAACCCACAAGTTCCATCCTTAATTATAAATCATGTTTAAGACATTTGAAACTAAAGTTAATATAAAGGGCCTGCAGTTTAATGTCTTTAGCATCAGCTGTGTGAAGTTTGTACCAAAGTAAGATCAAACTCTTAACGTGTGTCAGTGGCTATGTGTTGTAGAGTGTGTTGAAATAGCCTTCATATGTTACGTGCCGGTGTTTGGAGGATCAAGTGTGAAGGTTATAATCCTAAAGAGTCCAGTCATCTTCTTCCAAATAAGATGGTCGATGACACAGACTTGGGACTGGGCATGCCTGTGTTTGTAAGTCTGTCTGGGAGTGTTGCCGTGTTTGCAGGATGTGTGGAAACAAGGATGACACGTGGCATTGGATGTGCTAAGCCAAGACGAGGGCCACCGTGGGGCCGGTGTGTGTTCTCAGCTGTTGGGGAGGAGGGTGAAGGTGGGGCTGTGTGTGTGTGTGTGTGTGTGTGTGTGCATGCAGTATTTTCATCTACAGCCACTCATTGCTTTCCTGAACCTCCCCACTAATCCGGCCTGATCTAAGAGCAGGCATGCCGGGGACACACGCGACACACTCTCACATGACACATGTGGTCTCCCACACATTAATACACTTGCAGTATGAGGCACGCATGGCCTCCTGTCAGCTGTCCGGCATGTCCACATTCGCGTACAGTCAGCTTGACTTACATTCCTCCTCCTCATTGTGTTGAGAAAGCTGATCCAGATCAAGAAACAGATAATGAAAGTCAGGTTGTCCTCTCACCCAAGTATCAATCGTCTCTTTCAATGATAGGAATGTTGAGTGTTTGCAAAAGTCCCTGCTGCACATATCCCGAGTTGAAACGCTGTTCATTTTAGGTGTATGTTTTCAGGTATCTATCAAGAATGTAAGATTACAAGTTTTTTTCCATTTGGTGCTTTTTGGTCAACTTGTAGAGACTATGCTTCATCCTATGATGCACTCGTTTGTCTTGGCCAAAGCATCAGATATTTCCTGCTGCTTTAGTTGCAGCAGGAATGTGAACGCCCCAACTTGATAATGGGAAACGCCTACCTATCTGGGCTATTGTCTAAATATGGCATGTGATTTGCTTGTATTTCTCTGGACCGGCCATCTGTCTCCACACCTCGTGGAGAACATACCACCTCTGTGCGATGGGACATTTCACTCTGCAACACGAAAATGTGTGGTCATGCGTCACCTTCAGAGAAGCAGAACAGGGTGATGGTGTAACAGATTTCTGTGACCTGTTTGCTTCTGCAATGAAGCTGTCTCAGTGGCAACATGATCGTCAAGCTGTAAACTGAGGTCAGTGACTCAGTAAGAGGTGAAACACTTCACACATCTGTACCTGCAACACATCATCGAATGTCATCAACTGCAACGATTGAGAAACGTCTTGAATAGTACCATAGTCACTGCACAGTGAGTACAGGACTGAACAGGATCTCAGTTTGTTAAAAAAATGGAATACACCGCTTGTTCCAGATTGAAATATCTCAACAACTATTGGGTGGATTGCTATGATTTTTTTGTACAGATATTCATGGCCCCCAAGGAGTTTGGAGATCCCCTGACTTTCCCTCTAGCGCCATCATCAGGTCAAGATTTTAGTTTGCCCAATAGTTTACCACTACATACCTGAAAAGCTTGCCACCTGATAAACATCAGCATGTGACATTGACATTTAGCAGAGAGCACCGCTGTGCCTAAGTACAGCCTGTCTATAGCCTACAGCCACAGAGCAGCTAGCATGGCGAAAGACTAGAGATAGGTTGTACTTTACATTGACATAAAACCTAATTGATATGGTGACGTTGTTAGTAAGAAGTTGTCTGTTTACACATCCAGTAGACATGGAGCAACATTAGCATTCATTTAAAGTCATGGTTGTGTCCTCTTGATTAATGTAAGTCCAATTAGTTGACCAGCAAGCAGCTAATTTTGTTATTTGCCACTCGCTGCTGGCCAGGTAGAGTCAGTTTTTAAAGCACTTACACTGAAAACACCTGCCTGTTGAAAAAAAACAGTAAAATTGCCGGCTGGCTGAAAAACACTTAACTGAAAGATGCTAAAATGATAGAAATAAGCCAATACTATATAAATAAGACCCATTTTGTGATAAACTAGAATTGTCCTTTAATGGAGCTGTGCTGTCAGTAGGAGAGCATGTCATGTTCACTGCAGTAAGTCTCTTTCTATTTAAAACCTCTCTTTGGTTGAGGACTCTGCCTGGGTATAGTGACCCTGGTTGTCTGAGAGGAAGGGAGGAGTTGGTGCTGGTGGTGGCACAGGACAGAGAAGAAAGGGAGAGAGAGGAAAAAGAGGAGAAGGCTCGTGGAGCTCAGAGCGGGGCTGTTTAATCTCTGCAGGACTGTCAGATGGCTTTGACAGAGCACAGGCACCAATTAGGCTGCAAGATTAGGGGGGCTTTGTACTTCTGAAAAGCTTCTGGATGGACCTTTTTTTTTTTTTCTTCCTTCCTGTCTTGGGTTTATAGCTTTACTGGGACTCCTCACCCTCCCATAACTGTAACCCTCTCTTCTTCCCTCCCTCCTTCTGTCCACTTCCAGCCCTGTGACCAGCTTCCTAAAATCTGCGATTATACCCGGCTAGACATTGAGGAGTGGATTAATAAGGAAGCTTGTCTCTGTGGCTTGGCAGGGGAACGTTGCAGAGTGAATTAGCAGGCCAACGAGGTGGCGAGTTGGATGTTTATTGGGTTCCTGGGTGCCTGCTGGCATGGATATGGAGCCAAATTGCATGAGTGAGGGAGACTCCTGCTCCAATCTGCAGAATATAACGGTAGAGTACCGGTGGTGGGGACATAGACAGACTCATTTGTATTGAAATCTGAGTTACTTGTTTTGCACTCTGTTATGTATAGCTATTGCACGTGGAAGTGCATATGCTTGAGTTACAACTATATTGTTATTTAAGACAGACCTATATAACAGTGTTTTGGTGGATATGTCTTGCATATCTATAGTGTGTTGTGTTTACATGAAAGCACACACTCACACACAGACAGTGCTCCTCCTGAGTACATGGAAACAATGACAGGAAGTACATTAGTGGGACCTCCATTGTATCTCCCCATACATCCTCGCTTCCTCAGCTGGGTGTGGGTGATGGCGAGGGGGGATTCAGGGTGGAGTTAAGAGTTGTAGAAGAGCCCTCTGGTGCCAACCGGCCCGCTGCTGAGGTGAGGGGGAAAGCAGAAGGAGGGGGTCGGATCTGTCTGGCGTTCAGACAGAGATCCTTAATCCTGCAGCCGTCTGCTGCCTGTCGCCTAGGCTACAGAGCTTTTCGGAGCCCTGCGGCCTGGAAGTCTCCCAGTTGCTGACCTGTGGTCGGTTTCATTGTTTCACATCTTGGAATACAATTTTGGATTACGTAAGAGGTAAGCTGGTCCGAGATCAGCACACAAGGTGATAAACTAACTTTAAGTCAATTAGCTGTCATCCCGCAGAGGGGGGACAGATGGTGGGAATGTGGCAGTGAGCAAACCTCAGGAATGCAAAAACAATAGTCAGGCAGAGAGCTGTTTATTCTAAATGTGTGTGACTGTTTTACCCTTTTCACTTTGGCCCAGTCTTTTAAAAATGTTTTTGTATTTTAATGTGGGGACATTGTGTACTTGGCAGTGTATGTAATCTGACTTTCTCTCCCTCTTTTCCCTTCTGTATCTGTATCTCCCGGTTTCTGCTTTTAGGTTTGCCACCACCCAGACTGCCAAGACTTGAATAGCAAAAGCCCCCTTCACCTGTGTGAGTCATGTGACTCACGCTGCCATTCAGAGAACACAGACAACATGCACTTTGACCGGCACCCCCGATTTGACTTACAACCTCAAGGTAGACTTACATTATTTCTTGATTTGTTATTCCCCCTCTTACAGTGATGTAATACCAATTGCCTTAAAGGACACAGAGTTTTTAAATGTTGTCTAAATAAGGCAAAAAATGTACAGCAAGTATCCATCCTATTGATGTAATTGTTGGTTGACATTGAAGCTGAATTAGTGGTTGCAATTAACTGTACATTGCCTTTTTCATTTCATTTCATTTTAAACTATTTCAAAGTTGTCAACTCTGTAATTGGATTTACAACAACCCGTACAGCTATGTCAATCTCATCCACGCCTGTGGCCATGCAGAAAGGTTACATCGTCATTCCTAAACCTGCTGACAAAGCTCTGATTGGTCGACTGTTTTTTCCAACTGGCAGTGGGGTCAATGCGAGACCTGTTTGAATTGCTGCACTGATAATAGATGAGAACAGCAATTCAGAGGCTAGTGCTAACTAGCCATGCAGAGCATTTTTTTTTTGCCCCAGCCTTGTGATCTGAGATTTCTGTCTCCATCCTAACACAATGGAGGTAAACTGAATTGAATCTGGTTACTCAGGCTACAGACCTCATTGTGATCTACTTTCTCAAAATAGTCCATATGAAACTATCCAGAGCAGGGTTTTTCAGTCCCTGAGGGCCCTAGGGTATAACCCGAGCCCTGTCTTTTAGCCTGTATATTTATCTACATTTGGAAAATTGGCACCATTAAAAGTATGATGTTCCTGTTTGTAGTGTACCCATGGATATACAGACAGCCATCACAGGATTACTTTGATGCTGTATTGATTCTCAGGCAAATTCTGGAGTTATGAGATATCACAGATAATGATCATGATCACTTTTTCTGGAAAAAGGTGATACTGTTGATTTCTTGTAAATGTAATGTAAACACCACAAACAAATTAAATGTATTAGGGTGGAGGAAGAAATCTCAGACAAATACAGTATATTAAAACCCTCGACAAATTGAAGCTAAACTGTCTGCATGGCTAGATACCACAAGAGGCAGGGGAGAAAATCTGTTTCTTTTTCATTTGGGTGAACTGACCCTTTAAAGCTTGATATTAAAGGTTGCCTTAGTTGTGATCCAACAGAGTTAATGGCTGTGTTTTCTTAACCTCTAGCCTCCATCCTGGCTCGGAACGTGTCTACGCGCTCCTGTCCCCCGCGCACCAGCCCCCATTCCGACCTGGAGGAAGAGGATGAGGGGAGCAATGACCGTGGGTAGGTGACCCTCTGTTATATCATGCTAGTGTTCATGTATTCCTGCCTGTCAGTAGAGCTCTTGTCTTTTCACACTGGAGGATAAATTACTGATCACTTCTTTCCAAGTCTCGATGGTCACATTAAGCAGGCAGTTTCTCTTATGTTGGGTTCTTTTGAAGAACTGGCATATAAAGGTATGATAATGTGTGTCTAACTGTATCGCAGGGAGCAAAAAACAGGGGGGATGAAGATGGTGAAAAAGAAGGCACGGAGACGACACACTGATGTAAGTACACACATGGGCTGCAGTGTTCAACATAAAAGGTCTCCCCATGATACCTGAAAGTAGTCTACAGCTAGTTCACTTGACAGTATTTGTCACTTGTTTTGTGGCATTATTTGCAAGCATTGTTTTTCATAAATGTGTATGATACAAGCAGAGAGTTGTGCAATACAAAAGCAGCCACCATCATTTCCTGTAACGATGATATAACATAATGGTGTCTCCCACGCTGCTCTTTGTCTAAGTCAAGCACTGTAGTGAGAAGGAGCCCCCCTGTGGATCTGCTTAGAGCACACATACAGCTCAAGCCCGAGGCGGGCCAGCAAAGCTGCAGCTCCACCTGTGTAAACTAAACTGTGTCTGTTCCCCTTGCAGGACCCCAGTAAGGAGTGCTTCAGCCTTAAGTTTGATCTCAACGTGGACATAAACACAGAGATTGTACCTGCAATGAAAAAGAAAACCCTGAGGTAAGAGGGGAGGAGGAGTGGCCACAAAAAAATATTGCAAGAGTTTGATATGGATGTTAATTAACAGCTTCTTCTTTATCTGTATCGTTAACAGAGAGGTTCTTGGTCCAGTATTTGAGAGGAACGGCATTGAGCTTTCCCGGGTCGACTTGTTCCTAGATCAGTCCAACACACCGCTGTCTCTCAACTTCGAGGCCTACCGTTTTGGAGGACACTACCTCAAAGTCAAAGGTAAAAACACCACATGACCCATATACGAATTTCAGCACGGAATTAACCCCAGCTTGCGCTGATTAAATAAGAAAAGTGGCACGGTTGAAAATTGCATTAAGCTCATGCAAATTGTGTTTTAAGTCTGTCCTATCCAGAGGCACAAAATTTGAGAGGATCAGGGAATAAGAAGTTTGTGAAGCACCTGCTTTCAGATCCTGCCCTCTGGTAGGAGATTTGCTGCTCCTGCGCTTAAAACAAACAGGGGCAGGGCCAGCTTTATCCCTTCTATTAGGCTTCTTATGCACACATTCACAGAATTAGTAAAAGGCATAGCTTTTCTTTTAGAATCTTTTGTGCTGTGGTGTTTATTCATTTTCTTGTTTGATGTATGGTATTGAAACTGATCAAAATTAATTTCCCTTTATGGACAATAAAAAAACAAATCTAATCTAAATTCATACAAACCTGATTTATCACTGCATACTGACCACTGCCACAGATGAGGCTGCATCTGAAATGTAATGTCTGAGAAAAGCAGGTGTAAAATTTGTGGCACTGTTTTATTTGGCACACATTGAGGGAGAGTAGTCACTCTCTAGCTAGATCGAAACGGTGAGGGCTCACACACAGAAAATGCTTCAGTGACAGCAGCAAAGAATATTGGAACAAAAAAGATTCACTGCTTTATAAAAGTTCTACATTCAAAGACAAAAGAGCAACAATGTGACACAATTTTACCTTTTGGTTTTCCTCAGTGGGCTCCTTCTCAAATCTGTATTTCTTCTGACCTTGTAATGGCTCACAGCAGGTCCAGTCCAGCGCAAGATGTTTGAAGCAGCCACTAACAGACCTTTTATTATAAAAAAAAATTCAATCTGTTTCCAACAATAATTTAGTCAAAGACATTTCACTTAAATCCTCCGTTTCAGGCTGCTTGATGAATATTTCTTCACGCATAGCCTTCCTCACGCAGAATGTATTCTTACTTACACTTCTTAAAATGTATTCTATTCAACAAATATGTCATGTGAAGCTGCAGGAAACACTTCAGTTTTAAACATTATTTTTCAGACATATGCACCAGGTGTCAAAACAGTCCAGCATCAGATCTCATTTAGCTGCACTTTATGCAAATCAGATGAACTGCTGCTGGGCTCAGTAAAACTTTTGATGCCATAGATCCTTGAGGTTAATTTGCAGTAGGATATGTCCCCCATTGTTTTTGTGTTGTCTTACCTAACAATTTTTTATGTCATGAATCTCTCAGTGTCACATAATAGTTTAAATCAGGGTCAAGTTTTATGTGTTATTGAGAGTTCTTATGTTAATATGATGACATGATGTTCCATTAATAACTGGAGACTTTTTTTTGGTACCTTTTTTTTCTTGCTCTGTTAGTTTTTATTTTTACAAGTGTGTGCTGAGTATCCTCACCTGCACCACCATTTTTATTTCTTGAAAATGACTAGCAACACTGCTGGTAGCAGATGGATCGTGTTGGTATTTTCTCACTTATTTCTAATCCAGTCATAATTATCATTCAGTTGTTGGACATTTGTCATTGTATGATGGGCAAACAATCACACCAACTTGTGAAATAAATTATAATAACAGCAATAGTAAACGTCTTTCACTTTGTTCACCGTAAGTAAGTAAGTAAAGTTTATTTAATATAGCACCTTTTCACAGAACAAGAAGTCACAAAATGCTTTATAAGAGTAAAATAAGCCATATATATAATAAGAGACCACTGTAAAACAACAACAACAAAAAACAGTGAAATAATCGAGCAATAAAACATAAGCAACAACATCATAAAAATCTCAAAATAGAAAGTGGTTCAGTCTTTTACTTTGCAGTTGTGGTGTATTTTAGACGTCACGCCATTCTTATCTGTGTGCCTTTTAACAATGACTGAGGAGGACAGATGGCGTGCGCCAGTTTCCTCTCACACCCGTGTTTCTGACTAGAAGGAAAAGGAGTGGACTGTGTCCTTATAAGTGATCAGAACAACTGTTAATAAGATTCCCATAACTCTTAATAACAGTAGCAGCGTGATGACTCTGCCAGCTTTCTTTCCCTTGATGCCTGGGTGGAAACTGGGATTGGTGCCTCCCGTCTGAGATCACTGTAGTTACACTTGTTGCAGCCTTTGGATCAAAGGCCCATTTAAGCCTACCATAAAAGAGATCCTATGCCATGACTAACTGCTATTCTTTTGAAATTGTCACCCTCCCGACTCGACACCTCTTGACCACAGTCTGGAGTTACATATAGTCTGAAACACAGAGGTCAAGGGCAAACAGTCCACAGCTGTTTGGTCACGTGGTTGGAGGATTCAGAGGTTTTCATGAAGACGACTACTGAGAATCTATATTGTTATGCTCTATTTTTTTAAGCTTTTACAAATAGTAAAGCAGCTATAATAAGTATAGGTTAACAGTATAAGTTTATATTAACCACAGAGAATTAGTACCCAACTCTGCAGTTCCCCTCTGCTACATGAAGCGTTTCATTGTGTTTCAAATTATTGTTTTGTTTTTTTCACTCCGCAACTTTAATGTGTTGGGTCACTCGCATCGCTCTCATAGCATTGTTTTCATCTTCAGCAGGCGGCTGTCTGCAGCGATGTGTAAAAGAGACAACTGTTTGCCATATCAACTTAAAAGTTGATAGTATGTCAGTGTTGAGTCCACATCTTGTTTCCTGTAATATTAAATGACTTGCTCACAGACATTTGGCTTACATTCTAGTTTGCAAAGACATGCTGTTAATGTTAGCTATAGCTGCAGGAGAGTTGAGTATCGCTATCTGATGTTGTGCTGGCTCTAGGACCACTGCATCCTCTCTGTATGTTAGCTTTGCAGTAGCAACTGTAGCAACAGTCTGCTAACCCACAACGTAGCTAACGTTAGTTACATTACTTGCTGTGTCGTTCGCTCTATATCATGTTTTTTGTCATGGTTTTGGATTTCTCCAGAATCGCTTATCCCAGCTTTAAGTCCAAGTTTGTCCTGCTTTGCTTAGTATCCTTTCCATAATGTTTACAAGAGCTTGTTAAAGGATTTAACTTCAGGAAAAAACAGTGAGCTCAATACTTTGGGTGTGATGCTCAGTTGAACATGACTCAAACTTGAAGTGAACTTGAAACAATAGCACTTCAGCATTGACCAAGATTCCCTTTCCCAGACTGCTCAACGTCTTGTTTTTCTTCTTTTCATTTAGCACGGCTAGGTGATGAGCTGAAGGTGGAGCAGGGTGTGAAGGACTTGCGGTCGCTCAGTCTTCCCAATATGAAGCCCTCTGCCGGTCAGAGCCCCTACATCCTCAACCCAGGCAGTGAGAGGGTGGAGCATGGATCCCTGGGACGCCGAGAAAGCATAGATCTGTTGGTGAGTTGCATCTAGCCGAAGTGGTATATATATATATATATATATATATATATATATATATATATATATATATATATATATATATATATATATATATATATATATATATATATATATATATATATATATACTCATCAAACCAAAATACACCACCCCTTTATACCGCACACAAACAAAGACACACCCAGTGACTCGTACTGGTTTGCCACACCCTTTTTTCCATAACTTCACCTCCTCTTCCTTCAGTCCCATGATGCTTTGGGCCAGTGTGGTATCTGGGTAATTGTTTCCCCGCTTCAGTCTACTGCCAGCTGCAGTGTGTGTGTGTGTTCTTTTTCTGTGTGCACACTCTTGTATGTGCATGCCAGCCTGCTCAGTGCTGCCAACTGATCCCTTGTATGTCATATAAGTTCACTCAGGAACGCTCTGTGCCACTTCAGCACTTCCTGGAGGGACAGGAAGTGGTTGTTTTGTTACCGATGAGAGACGCTGAGAGGCTAACTGAGGCCTGCCTCCTGATGCACTTGGCTGCCACACATGTAGCATGGAAATAGGGCAGACAGTCATCGGGTTCATGTTGTGGCATATAGTGACTCTGGGACATTGGGCCAGGAGTTCAACGATGATGACTCGGTCTTTCAGCACTTTGGATTAGTTTTAGCAATTGACCATTCTTTAGCCGTAGAGCTGCAACTAACAATTATTTTTATTATCACATATATCTGTCTACTACTTTGTTTATTAATCATGTATTAATAAAGTGGCACTAAATATGAAAAATGCACCTCATGAGTTCCCAGAGACCACTTTGATAAATTGTCTGTTTGCAATGCCCCACTAGTTTAGCTAGTGTTGCTACACGTGTAATGATTTTTTTTTGTAATTATTGAAACAACAATTATTTTCAGACAAAAGTAGGCTTTACTTTTCTAGCTGGCGGCTTTCGCTTTTGCATGTTGAGATGAGCTAAGATTTTATGAGCTTTAGCTAGCTAGCTAATTAAGCTAATGTTCAGTCCAATGAAGAGCAGGACAGCAAACGATTATGTTACACTAAACTCTGATAGCATGTAGGACAGGCTTACACACCGTGAAATACTGTTGAAATACTACACAGGGCATGTAATTGTCATGAATTGGGCCTTTTCTTAACAAAAGCCTAGTTATGGCTGCTGGCTATTATTGGACAATCGCTGTGTGCGAGAGAAGATTAGCAAACAGTCAATTGCTTGTTGTGTCTGACCAACAGTATAAAACCCAAAGATATTAAATTTACAGAGAAGAGCGGCAGATTGCTTGATAAATGACTTGATTAAATCAATACATTTTCTGTCTCTTGATAAATCACTGAATTGAATAATTCTTCTCAACTCTACAACAGTACAGGTTTATGTGCTCACTGGCTTGGCTAGCTCTACAGCAGTAGCACACAATTCACCAGGTTGAATATTTATAAATCATCTATTGAAATTGCTTCCTCTGCATGACAATGTTGTCACTGAAGAGGAGCCGAACAAAGTGGTTGCTTAGCAACATCCACTCCAGTATGAGCAGTGATTTTTTATTCACCACAATAATATTCACATGAACAGTTGAATTGTCACTGCTGTGTATTATAGCCAGATGTTTAACAGTTGCTCAGACTTGAATCATCATTATGCTGTCACCCTTGTGCCCTCTAATAGCACTAGTGCTCACATTTTCACATCCCGGGCACGTACACGCTCTTCTTACTGCTGCAATATTTGCATCTCTGCTACTTATGTTTAAACATGTGTTAGGGGTGGGCGACAATGCAGAATTAGTTTTTTATCCATTACCAAGTAATACTAGGGCCAGGGTGGTTTTGATATTTTTTGTTGTTAAAAGCAGCTATCAAACTATTATGTAGGAGAGAGAAATATTTCATGATTTATGAGGTAAATGTATTATTAATAGTCTACTTCTGTATATATTTATATAGTTTAGTTACTACCAAATGGCATTTCATTTTTCTATTTTCTGTTAATCACTTAATCACATGCATGTTAAAAACCCAAGACAGCATTTAATGGCCAGTCACAAATGCTTATTATGAGTACATTCTCTGAACTAAAGAGGTGAACACTGATATGATGAAACATAAAAAGACACATTAGTACATTAGCTGCTTTTAACAGTAAAACATATCTAATATTACTTTGTATCAGATGGAAACCATATTTGGTGATATCCCCTACACAGAAGGAATCATAGCCCTCAACCTAAAGCATTAGGATAAACTGCAGTGCACTTTTGATAAACTGCACTGCACAGTGTGTGTAGTTTTCGTTATGTCTCTGTGGCCCTACAAGTGTGTATTCACGTTTTCGGTGTTCGCTCAGGTTTAGGCAACATCCTTGAGGCAAGTTCAGGCCTACTTACAGGTGAGTTTGATTGTGTAAGCTGACTAGTCTTGATGTCATCGTTTCTTCGGGCAGGGAGACAGGTAGTGGCTCGGTTAATCATCAGGTTAGTCACCAAGCGGAGACATAAACACTGGAGGTTGCTGAGGAAAGCTGAGTTTTAGTCATATCCTCCTGTTGCTGTATTTTATTTTGTTTGTGCCATCAAACTACTGACAGTGTTAATTCCCCTCAAGGATTTTTTCCAAAGAATTTCAATGCACCAACACTGCAGGTAATGACTTGTCAGTTTTGTTGGCTGTGAATATGGAAAGAGTGATGAGAGTGATTAAATCAGCTGGAGTACAGTCCTCAGGGGGGCAGTGATGTGCTGCTTCTCATACTCTGGTGCATGTGTTGGATATCTGGTAAAATACTTTGAGCTTCTGACTGTTAGTGGTACTGTTGCACTCTGCAGTGTAACTGAATGGCGTTACAGAGGAATTGCTGTAGAGTCAAAACAATCAGCTAATTTATCGATTAGTCAATGGACAGAAAATACATTTGCAACAATTATGATCGATTAATCATTTAAGTACCCCTCCACTCAAAAGTGCGTTTTGCTTTCTGTTACTTCACTTGGATGTTTGAGCTTCACTCTGCAGAATGATGTGCAGATTTGACGATAGACGTTGTTATCACATTCATCAATGTTTGCATAGATTCTGCACTTGTCAATAAAGGAAAATGAGTGGATTATTAAACTACTAATATATTTCGGTTTTTCACTGGTGGTCAGGCAAAACCAGGGCAAAACAAGCAGTATGAATATGTTATCTTAGGCATTTGTCACTATTTTCTAATATTTTCATGACCACATAATGAATTGGTTAATCGAGAAAAGATTCCGCAGAGTAATCAAAAATGAAAATAATTGTAAGCCTTAAATGTCTAATTTCTCTGTCTTTGTGAAACTATTTGGTAAGAATGACTCTTATTATTTCCATTATTTCACTCTTGGACCCAATTAATAGCCATAGAACCTAAGCTCATTAAAGTCTATTGACACTTTTGTCAGACTCAACAGAAACCCTGTGATCCGTTTTGGGTGCCAGCCCATATTTTATGAAAGCTGTTTGCAGGACAAAAGCTCCACTTGGACATGTGGGCACTCAGTGCGGTCTTTGAGTTTCTATGGCAGCAGCTTTGGCACTCGCCATAAAACGCATGCGTGCCTACTTTTTATGGAATTAAGGGCTTTGCTTAAAGAAGTTTAGATATTTGCCTAGTGACCGGATTCATGGCCTGGCATCGTAGCGGCTTGTGCCAGGCTCTGGAGTAAACGCAGCCAAGTGCTGTCCTTTTCTGTATAGAGTTACTCTTGTTTTACTGGGGTATTTCAAGTTTATTATTGTGTGCATGTTACATTTTATAGGCTCTGGCAGCATTGTGATACGCTGCAGAGAGCTTTGATGATCCAGATTGATTGTATTACAACAGGGTGCCTCGACCAGGCTCTCTGATTGGTCGAAGACACATTCCAACCATGCTGATAGTTCCCATAAAGCACCGCTACCCGCCGGTGCTTCGCAATTATTGCGCCATCCGCAAATAATGCATCCTTTTACATCCTTACAATATCAGCAGTGTATCAACTGATCTTTAACAAGTTCAACTTTTAACCTGCACGACTCAGTGTGCAATTAGAAAAACACATTCATGACATCAAAGACAAATTCAACAAACTATATTATTAGATGAATAACCAATTGCAGTCACGGAAGTGGACAAAACTAAAACTCAAATCTGAAATTTGGATCCCCCTACTGTATAGACTGTAGTAGCTGTGACTTATTTTACCTGTTTGGCATGTTGAAGCCATTTATCCCCAGGGTGATGGCTCAGGATGTTTTTGGACCATATGCAGTGCAATATGACGTCAGGTTGGAGCAAAAACAACACTTTATTCTTAAGGGACACATAAAATACTGGCATTGCTTTTACAGTATCATAGCATCCTCTGGGGACGCAGTCTCACACACAGTTCAGGCACTCGCCTGTCTTTCCTTTTCCTGAGAACAGAAACTGCAAGTTTTACAGCTCTCATAAAGATAGCTCAACCGTCTGGGACCGTGTGATTTTCAGTAAGAGCGTACAGTACATTGATCCTCGCTCTGTCACTTGGCCTTTTTATAAACCACACGGCCATCAATTAACATAGAACACTAAATATAGCACTAGAGTGGCAGGCCAGCTCTGCCTTTCTGTCACAGTCACTGACCTTCTCTGACTCAAGTTAAATACATAAAACCCATTTAACAGGATATTAATTTACATTAAGATTGTTTCTTTTAGATCCAAAGATTGCAAATTGCAGTGACCTAAATCACATTACAGTTTGCAGTTGGGTGGTTTTGGTAGGGAGTTAATGTCAGCTAATGGATCCTCCATATGTGTGTGTCAGTTAGGGCTGTATTGAATATAATTTTTCTATATTCAAACTTTCTGTTGAGGTATTTAAATGAAGCTTTGAATGTCTGTTGTCATATTTTCTGACTTCATACTAAATGTTTGTTTTTTTTAAACCTTGAACAGAATCCTCAGTTTGAAAAGTGATATGATCTTTTTGGTTTACGGA